GATAATAGGGTTCAGTCTTCACCAGATTTAGCTTCATTTACAATTTAAAACATGTGTAACACTCACCATACATAAAATAAGGCAAGAAAAACAATTTATCATGAGAAAATAAACTCTTTAACAGAGAAAACAAATACAAATGCACAGAGTTCGTGCTTAGCCAGTCTTCCAGATGGCCAGGCAGAGCCAAGTATTTCCAAGAGTTGCCACCAGGTGGCAGTTAACTCATGGCAGAGAAGTCTCTCAAGGATTCAGTTAAACAAGCATCCAATCAAACTCGTCCTCCACTTGGCAGTCTACATGTCTGACTTTGGTGGGTGTGCCAGCATACATATCCTAGAAAACAGAGACCATCACACCTATCAACTCATCACACAGGTTTCCTCTTAAGTTTCCAAGCACAAGTGGGTTTGCCCAGCAGCAAGATAAAGCAAAGAAAACCAGCATCATTTTGTCCCTTCAGAAGTGTATTGTATGTATTACTCGAGGCTCGCCACAACCACATTGTACAGTGTAAAAAAGATCAATAAACCTTGAAAGCACCTGGAATGGCACAGCTGGAAGTCAGGATAATGCAATCATCCTTGTATAAATATATTCAAGCACAGCATAGGAACAGCTTATAATAGCTTATGCCTGAGTCTTTCATGTTTTGCCACTTCAGATCTTAGATACTTACATATATAAACACTGGAAGGTCTCCACAAAAATAAAGAGATCTTTTTATTGTAAACTATATAAATACAGACAGATCTGAATGAATGTACCAGGTCATTAACTACTGAATCAGAGATAAGGCAATTCTGTATAGCTCGGTTTATTAGGGGTAGAGCAGGGGAACCCTCACTGCGTAGTCCCAGCAGCCTGGCAAGCCTGGCTTTTACTACAAAGACCAGGCTGGCCTAGAATTTAGAGATCTGCATGCCTCTGCCTCCTAAATGCTAGGATTGAAATAGTCTAACTCTCCACCACATATCCAGTCATAACCAATAGGTTTTGGGTTTGGTTTTTTTTGTTTTGTTTTGTTTTCTTTCAAGACACGGTTTCTCTAACAAATCTGGCTGTCCTGGAACTCACCCTATACACCAGGCTGGCCTCGAACTCACATCTCAAATGCTGGGATTAAAGGTGTATGCCATCACCACCTGGCTAACCCATGGTTTTTGAAATAGGATCTTGTGTAGTTCAGGCTAACCTTCAATCTCTGATCTTCCTGCTACCACCTCACATGGGATGAGGTTATAGGCATGCAACCAGCACAACTAGCTTTAAAACTATTTCCTGGGCCAAGCAAATCCCAGCACACAGAAGGCAGCAACAGGAGGATATCTGTGAGCTGAAGATCAGTCTAGTTTACCTAGTGAGCTCCAGGACAGCCAGAACTGTAAAGAAGAGTCTCAGACACCAGCAGCTTACCACTGAAAGGGGTGACTAAAGGCAGAATGAGTCAAAAGTCCAACTGAGGTCAAATGCTCAGAACCCAGTGTGATCAATTTGGTATTTCTTAATGGGAAAAAGTCCCCTTTTCATAAACATTATAATCAAGCTTCAGTCCTAACCTTAGTATTTACGTAAAGTTGTATGTATTCTCAAGTGACTTAAACACCCAGGCTGAATGCCAGGCAGTGGTAGTGTATGCTTTTAATCCCAGCACTCAAGAAGCAGAGGCAGAGGGTGAGTTCAAGGCCAGCCACCTCTCTAGCTCTTTTCTGAATCGGGGTATTTGAAAGATAATGTTTGCTAAGGTCACAAGAACCCATTTCTGCGGGCAGTGGTGGCGCACACCTTTAATCCCAGCACTCAGGAGGCAGAGACAGGTGGATCTCTATGAGTTTGAGGCCAGTCTGGACTACAAGAGCTAGTTACAGGACAGGCTCCAAAGCTACAGAGAAACCCTGTCTCAAAACCAAAAATACCACCCAAGCTGAAAAAGTCAGGTGGTGGCGGCGGCACACATGTTTAATACCAGCACTGAGGAGTTTGAGGCCAGCCTGGTCTACAAGAGCTAGTTCTTAGAACAGGCTCCAAAGCTATAGAGACCCCATCTAAAAACTAGGAGAAAAAAACAAAACAAAAAACAAAAACTGAAGGAATTACTTACAAAGTTATCCTGTGAACTTGTCTGGGACTCAGAGCTGCTTTCTGTAAATTCTGTCTCCATTTCCCCAAGATCTACAGGTTGTCTGAGAAATGAAATTTAACAAGCATGTCAGTCACCTGCTACCAACAGAAAATGAGAATTCAAAGTTTGCTCACTAAAACCTAACGCCACCCACATCACAATACAAGTGTGTTGTCCAAGGTCAACTTTCTGTCACATCTGCCAAAATTTAAATTCCAGACCAATCAACCCAACACAAAAGCTGACAGCAACTGCAACTACATATGAAAGACCTGCCTGGCTCTCAGAAGACCAGAATCTGACATTCTGTGCTGTCATTCATACACACCTGTAAATACCCTGCTTTATTTTTGAGACAAAGTTTTCTGTGTAGCTCTGGTTGTCCTGGAACTCACTCCTGGCCCTATAAACATTCTTTTTTGTTTTATTTTTCGATATAGGGTTTCACTGTAGTTTTAGAACCTGTCCTGGAACTAGCTCTTGTAGACCAGGCTGGCCTCGAACTCACTGGATCCACCTGCCTCTGCCTCCCGAGTGCTGGGATTAAAAGTGTGCACCACCACCGCCTGGCCTGTCAACATTCTTGCAAAGTAGCAAGACCAATTTTCTGGAGTGAGCAGAATGGAATGCTACTAAGCTGAGTATGGCAGTACCTCAACACCTCAACCTTTTCAAGTTGAACCTGTGATACAGACTTACGACCCTGATCAAACCACCAAAAATAGTAGTGGCTCAGTATATACAGTGCTTGCCCAGCATCCATGAGAGCCCTGGACGACCCAAGAACCTTTCAGAGTCAAATGGGGGTAGGTCATGGTGGTGCTCACCTTTAATCTCAATATTCAGGAGAATCTGAGTTCAAGGCCCACATGGTCTAACCTCAAGCTCCAGGACAGACAAGACTATACAGAGACACTATCTCAAAAATCCAACCAAAACCCCTCAAATAGGGTTGAGGAGATGGCTCAGTGGAAAGTGTTTATGTGGCATAAGGTCCTAATTGTGGATTCCCAAAATCCACATCAAAGAAAGCTCACAGGCCACCTGGCCCACACAGTAACAAACTAACAGAAGACCCTGTCTCAAACAAGGCAAAAAGGACTGACATCCACGGTTGTCCCATGACCCGCACACACACAGCTAGTGTCCTAAACTGTTTTCTGGCTCCAAAAGACTAAATCCAGCACAGGGCATGAGCTCTCCCTGGCATCCACAACTCTGTGCAATATAACGAAACCTGAAGGCTAGTTTGTTCGGTTTCTTGACAACTTCCAGGATAATCTGCCACAGTGATAGAGAAAAAAGAAAGCAACAAAAACGTACATTTCTTGCAAATCACATCCTTCTTCAGCAGGAGGATCCCAAAAATGCAGAGCCACCTTCCAGAGTTTGATCTGTTGATCCCATGACCGTCGACTATACTTCTTAAATTTGTTAGGAGTCCTGGGATGGATTCCAGGTTGTCGCAGGTGTCTGTAGGACATAAGATTGCTTCAGTACAAGTCATTCGTATCTCTACAGTAGCTAAGACTAAGCGCACTTTGAGGTTAAAGTTTAACAAATAACTCAGATTCATTTTTCTTTTATTTATTTATTTTTTTAAGAGACATGGTCTCTCTACGCACTCACTACATACAAACTGGTCTCAAACTCAGAGATGTTTGAGTCTCTGAGTTCTGAGATTAAAGGCATGCATCACCACACCCAGTAGTCAGAGATTCTATTAAATGAGCAAAAAGAAAAAAAAAAGCACTAGAAGCAGTATCTCAATCAGGCATGAACTTGTATTCCCAGCACTTGGGAGGCTGGGGCAGGAGACCCAGAAAGACCCTTTCTTTGGATCTTACTATTACTTTGGAACTCACATTTTAGAAAAATCACATTTTAATCCTGATGTTGCCCAAAAGACTCAAAAAAAAAAAAAACCAACCAAACAAACAAAAAAAAAACAAAAAAAAACCCACAAAACTCAAAAAAAAAAAACCCCCACTATATTCCTGTGTGTTTGTTCAAGAGAACAATAAAAGCAACAATGTGCTGTTTAAACAGTAATGGCAAAGCTTTCTGCAATTATACACTGAAAAAGATGGCTCAGTAGTTAAGAGCACCTGTTACTCTTGTAGACAGTCTTCTCAGTACCCACATGGTGGCTCAAAAAACATCTAACTATAGTTTTAGGAAATCTGACATCCTAATCTGGCTTCTGCTGGCACCAGGCATGCACACAGTATACTGTGCATACACGCAGACAAAACATTTATACACATTAACTCCCCCCACCAACCCCGGACAGGTTTTCTCTGTATAGCCCTGGCTATCCTGGAACTCAGATCAGTCTGCCTCCGCCTCCCAAGGATTGGGATTAAAAGCACGAGTCACCACAAAACAGCTCCATAAACATGTTAATTAAAAACAAAAATATATCACCACACCCAGCTCTCCAATTAAATAAATATATTCTTTAACTTGAATTTATTTTCCTACTGTGTATTTTAATAACTATGTACTTTATAAAACATTGACTGGGCAATGGTAGTATACGCCTTTAATCCTAGCACTTAGGACACAGAGGCAGGTGGATCTGAGTTTGAGGCCAGCCTGGACCACAAAGCTAGTTCTAGGACAGGCTCCAAAGCTACAGAGAAACTCTGTCTCAAAAACCAAAACCAAAAAATCATTTACTTTTTAAGTCTTGAGGATAAAATGCTAAAATGTTATCTAATAGTCAAAGCTATGAAAATAATTTAAGTTCTTATGAGTCGCTATTAAATATTTCCTAGAAGGTATGTCTAACAGGTACAATGCTATTGGGTAGGACCAAGACAGGTCTATGTGACAACAGTACCTGGGGACCTCTTTAATATATCGATCATAGGCAATAGTGTTCTTCCCATAGTTGATCTGCTTCTGTCTTCTCATCAAGACACTTTCATCTGTCTCCACATCAGCTGGCACTGAAGACACAGACTCCTTTGAATCAGAACTGAAAAGAATGAAAGCCTTGGTAAGATCACTGTGTGCCAAGAAAACACTATAACAGCCCTCTTTTAGATTTCAAATGATACGACTCCCGCGAAAACCAATCTATACTATAGGAATTTCCAGTATACAACAGCGAAGAAAAAAATACCAGTAAATGTTATTGGAACAACAAGCCCCTTAAAATTTTCACGGGCAAATTCAAAATGTTTCAGCACGTACCTTCCTGATGATGACTTTCTCTCTCTTCCAAAATCATTTATGAGTAGTTTTCTCTTGTATCTGAGAACAAAATAAAACATTGCTGTTTTTAAAAGGATAAAACACAAACAAAAATTAGTGCTCTAGGGGCTGGAGAGAGGGCTCAGTGGTTAAGAGCACTGGCTGCTCTTCCAGAGGACCTTGGTTCAATTCCCTGTAACCACATGGCAGCTCATAACTGTCAGATTCCAGCGGATCTGATTTCTTCAAACACCAATGCACAGAAAAGTGAAAAAATAAAAAAAAAAATAAAAAAAAAATAGTGCCTCTAAAGCAAGAACGAAGTCTTTTTCCTGCACAGCACAATTTGGGAATGGGAAAGTGTTAAGTCTGAGGTTAGCCTGGGCTTATTAGCCCTTGACTAAAAACTTTAGGAGGTTGGGTTGGATGAAACAGGAGATGAACTACTTTTTTCTTTTTATTTCTAAAAAATATTTTTTTGGGGCTAGAGACAATGCATGTCTCAGCAGTTAGGATCACTTGGCTGCTCTTCCAGAGGACTCAGGTTCTATTCCAGCACCCACATGGAGGCTAACTCCAGCACAAGGGAGATCTGATGCCCTCCTCTGTTTCTATGGACACTAAGCACACACATAGAGCACAGAGACATACACACAGGCAAAACATCCATATACAAAAGAATTTTGAGCTACCAACAGCTGTGAGTCTCCATGTGAGAGTTAGAAACCTGGGTCCTCTACAAGAGCAGTTTAAATGCTCTTAACCACTGAGCCATCACCACTTTAGCCCAATTTAAAAACAAATTGTAAAAAGACTGTATGTGTTTGTGCATGCATGCCACAGCACACGTGCAGAAGTCAGAGGACAACTTGTGAGAGCCAATTCTCTCCTTTCATTATCTGAACTCTTGAGCTCTGAGAGTCAAACTCATGTCATTAGACTTAGACACAAATTGTATTTACTGAACCATCTCACAGGCCCAGCATTATTTCTTTGAGTCTATTCCTTTGCAATTTATGTTTCGGGAAAAAAGAAAAAAAAACCTCAAGAAAATACAATAAAAAATTTTAAAAAAGGTTAAAAAAAAAAACCCTCCAAAACTGTCTGTCCTTTCCTGTGTTACATAGAGTGCATGCTCATGGAGGCCATAAAAACTCAAGAGCCAGACTGGAAAGCAGATTCAGAGGTTAAGAGCACTGGCTGCTCTTCCAGGGGTCCTGAGTTTAATTCCCAGCAACCACATGGTTGCTCATATCTATAATGAGATCTGGTGCCCTTTTCTGGCCTGCAAGTCTACCAGCAGGCAGTAACACTGTATACATAGTAAACAAAACAAACAAACAAAAACAAAAAAACTCAAGCGCCATCCCACCCACTTCTACCTTTGTCGGCCCAATACAGGGATTACAAGCATACACCACTTCACATAGCTTCTTTACATGGGTCCTGGGGACCTACATGCCCTATATGCAAGGCAAACACTTTACTAAGTTCTATCTTCGCCCTACTTTTTTTCTTTTTTTAAGGTAAAGTCCAAGTTGCCTAGTCTGGCTTTGATGCCAGTTGGTCTATTTTCATTTACATCATTTCAGAATATATAATGAAACACTGTCTCCAATAACAAGAATTTGAGGTCAAACCATTAAAAAAAAAAGAAAAAGAAAAAAGAAATCGGGATTAAGGTTTAAGTGCTACAACCTTTAGTAAGCTCTTATTCGTCTAGTTATTTTCTGGGATTTCTTTTCTTTCTTGAGGGTGGGGGGTGACAGAGCTTTTACAGGTAACCCTGGCTATACTGGAACTTACTATATAGACCAGACTAACCTGAACTCAAGCTATGTACCTGCTTCCCCAATGCTGGGTTAAAGGTGTGTGCAACCACACCCAGCTAATTTCTGGGAATCTTATAAACAAAACTAAGCTGTAGAGCCCATCAGCTATCTTTCAGGCACTTTCTATTTTACTGACACAAGGTCTCTCCATGAACAAAGAGCTCAAGATTCAGCTAGAGTCTGTCACATTTTTACTTGTGTTTGTGTGTGGGTTCTAGTGTGCTCTCTACATAAGGGAGGTGAGAGGACAACCTGTAGGAGCTGGTTCCCAGAAAATGAACTTGGGTCATTGGGAGGTCATTTGCTGGGCTTGATCTGTTGCTACTGGGAACTTCATTTTCTGCTTCCTAAGTGTCCTAGGACTATAGACAAGCCACTATGCCCACGCAGCTTTTATGCAGGTGCTAGAGATCCCAACTCCAGGCCTCATTCTTATGCAAACATTCCATCCAATGAACCATCTCCCCCACCTCCCATTTAGTTTTACATTATCAACTGAAATTCTGCCAGGCACACCTCAGGAACCCCCCCCCCCCATACCCTATGATCTTTTAAATTCTTTAGCAATCCCTTGAAAACAATCCTAGGTCACCAAAATCCTATATGACTACCATAAAGACAACAAAACATGACTCCACTGAAAAGCCCATATTCAAACTCTGGGGTATTTACTTTCTTCCCCAGCATCTTTCTAGTAACCCTTGTACTTAAAATCTGTATTAGAAATGTCTCTTAATAACCTCCAACTCTGCTTCATACAGGCTCATCCTGAAATTCTTTTTTCTGGAAAAGCCAGGAATCTGGTTTTACCCAAGTGGTAGTCCCTAAAAGATAAGGCAACCCCTCAGGCTGCTATGGGTAACAATGTGGACTGGTTTGTTTTTCTTTTCTTCTAGACAGAGTTTCTGTGTAGTCCTGGAGTTACCTTGCGCCCAGGCTTATAGATATGCACCACTACCACCACCTAGCTTGAACTGGTTTCTTTACAATGACAACCAAGTAAGTAAGTATTCTTGCCAGAGAGCATATAAGACCTTGGATTCAACCACCACCAGCATTGCCAAAAACAAAAATTAAAACCTTCTAGAATTGGGGAGGTAAATCCATGGATGAAGAGTTTTCGTCACATAAATGTGAGGATTAGAATTTGGGTCCATACCACTCGCATAAAATCCTGGGTGGGTGTGGTGGTACACCCCTAATTCCAGTGCTTGAAAGGCAGACACATGGGATCACCAAGCTAAACTGGCTAGGTAAAATAACCAAATTAGCAAGTTCTGAGTTCAGTAAGACCAGCTCTGTTAGTGGTGGTTCTCAAACTAGGAAGCACTCATTTAGAAGGGCATCTCACAAAACAAGCAAGCAAACAAACAAACACAAAACCCAACAAAAACAAAAACAAAACCTGGGCCCTACCCATCAATAGGTCAAGGAGCCTGCAAATATCTTTTTTCAGGGGGGTGAGGGTGGTATTCAAGACATGGTTTCTCAATAGCTATGGAGTCAATCCTCGAACTCAGAGATCTGCCTGCCTCTGTCTCCTGAGTGCTAGGATTAAAGTCACGCGCCACCATCGCCCAGCCTCAAACATGTATTTCTAACAAGTTTCCAAAAGATGCTATGCTAGTCTAAGGACTAGATTTTCAACAAACTCAGGGATTCATCATGCTAGGTAAACTCATTACCACTGAGCAACAATAAAATTCCTAGAGCAGATTTTTTTTTTGTTTGTTTGCTTTGTTTTGGTTTATCGAGACAGGATTTCTCTGTGTAACTGTTCTGGAACTAGACCAGGTTGGCCTTGAACTCAGTCAGAGATCTGCCTACCTCTGTCCCCTGAGTGCTGGGATTAAAGGAGTGTGCCACCACCATCTGATAAAGAACAGATTTTTAAGAGACAATATTCTAAGGCATTCTATGAATAAAGTAATTGAAAAAGACACACAAAATATTAAAGTGTGTACCTTGCAATCTCTTTGTTAACTCTGGTCCTCATTTCATCTTCTTCAACTGCACTTGCCCAGTCAGAACATCTAGAACGGGGCTTAGGGCCTTCAGGAGTTGTAAAGCTACAAAGAAGGGAAAATGCATTTAAATGAGTGCTTTATCTCAGTTTCTGAGGAAAGAGTATGACGCTGCTTTGGCAGAATACCAAGTAAACAGGTGAGTTTAGGCAATTTCTCAAAGTCTTCTGGACATCAGATAGCTACCAACCCACTGAGTCAGTGCTGGATTACGGGAACCGTCTACTGAGAAAGCAGTAGAGGTAAATGGTCAGTACCAAGAAGAGTACCTGCTACGTAACTTGACTTTTTGTTTTGAAACAGTCTCCTGCCTCGGCTATCTTGGAAGTGCTGGAAAGACAGGTGTTAGTGACAATACCTGGCTCCACTGTGCTAGCTGTAAATGAGGTATTATAGAATTTTTTTTTTCTTTTTGGATGTTTGAGACAGTTTCTCTGCATAACAGTCCTGGAACTCACTCTGCCAGGATTAAAAGCATGTATACAGAGTTCTGCCTGCAGACCAGAAGAGGGCACCAGATTTCATTACAGATGGCTGTGAGTCACCATGTGGTTGCTGGGAATTAAACTCAGGACCTCTGGAAGAATAGCCTGTGCTCTTAACCTCTTTTAAGATTCCAAACAACAAAATGCATAATGCTAAACATTGTGACCAACCCAGTGAGACTCCAACAAAACAGATGAGGTTTACCTTACAGATGCACAAGACTCACAACACTTATAGATACCACAATTACAATGTGGAAAAGGTGAGAATGAGTCTCATGGATATAATTATTTTTTTGGAGACAAGATCACCAGGCTGGCCTTGAACTCAGCCTACTGCCTCTGCCTCTCAAGTGCTGTAATTAAAGTCATGTGCTACCATGCCGGGCAGCTCTAATTTTTATTTTACCAAGAATTAGTCTACCATGCCAGGCAGTGGTGGTGCAGAGTTCTAGAACAGTCAAGGCTACAGAGAGAAACCCTGTCTCAAAAACAAACAAGCAAACAAAAAACAAACCCAGGAGTTGAAGTGATGGTTTAAGTGGTTAAGAGCACTGGCTGCTCTTCCAGAGGTTCTGAGTTCAGTTTTCAGCAACAACATGGCTCACAACCATCTATAATAGGATCAGATTCTTTCTTCTGGTGCGCATGAAGAGCATTCATACACATAAAATACATGAATAAACAAATCTCTTTTAAAAAACAAATACAAAAGCCAACGAGCAGAAGCATTCCTGCCACTGGTACAATGAAGTGGATAAGTGGTGACCTATGAACCAGGGGTCCTGATACCATGACCTAGAGAATTTAGGATTCTAACATTTGGGGTTGGAGATGGCTCAGCAACTAAGAATGCTTGTTGTTCTTTTAGAGGACATGGTTCAGCACACACATGACAACTTACAATCACCCATAAATCCCATTTCAGGGGATCCAATGCCCCCTCTCCACAGGCACCAGGCACACATTGTACACTTTATATGACAAAACACTCATATACATAAATAAATCTAGTCTGGGATTGTAGCACATGCCTTTAATCCTAACACTTGAGAGGCAGGTGGACCTGAGCTCAAGGCCAGCCTGGTCTACCTAGTGAGTTCCAGGACAGACTTTTCTTTAATAAATAAATAATAACCTACCATTTTGTCTTCAGATAACTGAGACCATGAAAGGGCTCAAATCATCTCAATAAGGTTTCCTGTTTTCAATAAGACAAGATATCCCAGGCTAGTCTCAAACTCACTATGCAACAAAGACAGACCTTGAACTTTTGATCCTCTTGCTTTTACTCCTCCTGAGCACTACTGGGATTACCGACACATAGAGTGTCACCTCCCCTTTTACCTACCTTAGGGTTGTACTCTGCTATACTCCCAGAACTAATCCACAATCTTCAAGCATGTGCTGGTAACTCACATTATACCTGACGCCTCTCCAAATTTAAGCAGATTCCCTCCCAAGAGAGATCTGCCCATCCACGGCTGCAGCTACCCTGGAGATTGACTGTAATCAGAGATGGTCAAGTGTTTCAAACAGTCTGACTCTTTTTTAAATAAATTACTTTTTATTTCAATATGTACTCATATCTTGTCTGCATGTACGTCTGTGTGAAGATGCCAGATCCCCTGAAACTGGAGTTACAGGCAGTTATGAGCTGCCATGTGGGTGCTGGGAATTGAACCCAGTTTCTCTGGAAGAGCAGCCAGTGTTCGTAACTGCTGAGCCATCTCTCCAGCCCTGGATCTGACTTCTCTGTCCTCGATCAGTGTATTCAGAAGTCTGAATTTCACACCACCCTCACTACTCCGAGTTAAATCGCCACAACCCTTCACTGGGCTCAGCAGCCCTGTCCTCATCTTCCCTTCTAGTCAGCTGGCTAGAGGGCACCTATCCCTACAGAAAGGCATGGTCCAAACTCTGAGATCACTTTCCCCTTCAGTCACCACACAAAGGTTCCCCCAGACAGCCCTTCCCTGAGCAACCCACAGCAGCAGCTTACTCTTCAGACACTCCTGGTGTGTCTACTATTTCACTTGTTGGCACACCTCTGTGAGGTCACCGAGACCTCGTTGACTTCAGCTGGGCCTCACATTAAAAACAAACAAAACACCTAAACCCCGTGACAAAAGCTTATCAGATGGAAGGGACCCAGGTACATCGCGAAGAAAGAGTGATCCGGGAATTCAACTTTGGTTTGCATCTGGCTTTCACTCAGGTATTAAAACTTAATTTCTTTCTGTCTTTGTCGCCCGTGTGTGTCGAAACATTTTAACAAGATGTTCAAAGAAAATAGTAGTGCCTGACACTATGCGCGAAGACTATAAAGATTCCCCGACTCCGGATAAAACCAGTTTTGCTGCCACTTATCAGTTACTGCTAAGATGCTTCGAGGACAGAGTTAAAATGAAGAGAACCCTAAATTATCCCAAAGTCTAAAAAGCGAGTGCAATAGGATGAGGGTCCCTTGGCCCTTCTCCAGACCCACCGAGTGATCAACCAGTTTCCACCCGGCCAGGGCCCACCTTTCAGGTCGACGGTCCGCAATCTGGCGATCGCTTTCCTCGGAGTCCTCGGGCTTCCGGTCCCCTCCGTCCGCTCTGCGCTTCCGTCCGAGGCTCCATCTCGCAGGAGACCGCGGGCTGAGGACACAGACTGCAGTCAGTGGGCGGGGCCCCACAAGCCCGGATGGCTCTGGGACCCCTGCCTCACAGACAACCCGATATGGAAGACTTGTAGACCGCACGCCTGCTTACCTTGCACCATCGTCGCGGCGGCTCCCATACCGGGGTGGGCTTCGAGGTCTGCAGGCCATGGCGGCAGAGGGCCGGAGAGCGGTTCAGCAACAGAGACCTACCTCGGCGACCGGCGCTGACTCGTCTGAGCTAGCCTTGCCCAACCGCCCTTAAGAGCGCAGCGGCCCCGCCCCTCGGCAACTCCCGCGCGCGCGCGCGCGGGCGCGCGGGGTCGGACGAAACCATCGGGCGTCCCCCTGTAGGGGAGTCCTTCTCGGCTCTGCGTGTCCCGCTGGCGGACCCGGCTCCGACCTAAGCCTCGAAACTGCAGGGAGTCGCCAAACTCCAAAGCCTGATACAGCCGCCCAGAAGGGCGGGAAAAATGCTACAGCCCGACTAAAGTGGAAAGGAACTGGCGGCCCCCGACGGCCTTCCAAGAGGCTGGCGCTGTGGCTGCCGCGTCTCTGATTGGTTGCATCTTCGCGGGCCCAAGGAGTATTGGCGGGAGAACGGGCAGTGCGCGCCATTGCCAGTCAAAGTAGGCAGGCGTAGCCAAGTCGCTGGTGCGGGCCGGAAGGCGGAAGACGTGGACCTGGTCCGGGACCGGCCCCTCTACCCGCCTCCACAATACTCCCGGGGCGCCCTCTTGTAATTTAAACCCTTAACTATGAAGGCAAGGCGTGCGAAAGCTCCCTTGGTAGCCAGCACACTCAGTGACCTTTTTCCCCTCCAAGGCTATCTGCCCGGACTCTGGTGCCGCCTTCTCTGCTTGAGTCACCAGCACGAGGGTCAAGCCCCTGCAGACCCCACTATCCTAGTCGCAGATGAGTGTAGGCAGCCGCGACTCTACCTTAAGGGTGGACCTGGCCTAGAGCAGCGCGAAAGAGGGTGGATTGGAACGGGAACGGCAAACTATGTAGTCATTGAAGGGCAGCGTGCCCAACCACTGAGTCTGGAATGCTAGCCCTGTTTCCCTTTCCGAACGCACTATAAACACTGACACTAATTTCTAGTGCGGCTTTCTGGTCTACAGCCATGCTCATCTCACTTTCCCAACATCCCCCAGCCACTACCCCAAATGTTGCAAAAGTTTGGTTTTACTACCAGGTAAATAAAATAAAGTACATCACTTGGAAAGTAACACTTTATTAAATACTGTGTCATTTTGCGACATTTACATTTATCATTATAAAATTAACTTCTCTGTGGTTAAAAAATAAAATAACTTCAAACCATTTGGCCCCTGTTAGGTGGCCCTTGAAACTGGATGACTCCTGGCCATGCTTCAGGACAGGCAGAACTGTGCTTGCTCTGCTAGCAAATCCCTCAAGTTAGGTGCAGTGTTGACTGGGTAAGGGGCTAGTTTGGTCTGTCACTACTGCTTGAAGCAGCCAAATGTAGGAGCTTCAGGGCCACAAGCTGAAGGAAAGTTCTCCCTCCTGCAGCTTCTTGTGTCAGAGGTGTAGAGTAAAGGGCAACCTCTCCCCCTCCCACCTGCACTATAGATAAGTGAATGGTACATCCATCAGAACCATGACCACTGAGGTACCCACCCTCTCCTGATCCAAGCAAACCACAAGGGCTCTAGCTAACCCTGTACTACATCCCTGGTGGGTTTCTTTCTGGATACTGTTGTGGCTTTTCAGTTCTTTCCTAGGGCCAGGAGTATGAGATCTTGGCCTCCCCTGGACTACAGAAGCAAGAGAAGACACCAAAAGCATTGTGGGCCCTCTAAAGCATATGCAACCCTCATGAGTAACTGGCCTAGCCCTAGGTTGTTGCTCCTGCCTCCCCTCGGCTGGCTGCAGAAAAGGACTTCGCAATGGAGTGGCACCACTGGTAACCCTCTCAACTGTCAACATCTACCCAACATCATAGGCTCTGGGACAGATGTAGGTCTGGCTTATAATTCTCAGGGTTCTGAGGGGCAGATATGATCTGTGATAGAATTAAGGCAAACCGACCAAATGAAAACTCTGGGTCAAATTCCAACATCTTGGGACTTTGGAGCAATCTATGTGAAATATCAGCCCCACCTGGAGGTAAGTAGGGCAAGAAGGTGCTGAAGGTATGGGATAGGACATTTCCATGAGAACTTCTAAATCAAAATCCTCAAACCTACCACAGACTCAAGGCAGAGAGTGGCTGTAGATACATGTGTGCTTTGACTAGAACCTTTTGCCAAGGTCAAGGAGCTTTAGCTGCTCCTCATAAGTGGCTAGTGGAGACACAGAATAGGTCAGCGTATACAACACACATCCAGGATGCAGAAGCGGGCACGGCAAGTAGGGCAGGGCACACGGCTGGCCAGCCAAGTGTCAGGGCGCTGGGGATCCTGGCGGCTGGCAAACCACTTGCCCATGCAAGTGAGACACCACATGGGACGGCAATAACACTGCTGGCACTCGCCCACTGCTGGCTCCTGGCAAGTCTTCACCAGCTTCACACTGGCCCGTGTCTGCATGCAGCCTATACAGGCCTCAAGTTCCTACAGAGAAGTAGTTGAATAAAAGGGGTTACAAAAAGGCCTACAAGATGGTTCTAGGAGAAAGGAGGGGTACCCCCACACACACTTTCCCACTTGGGCCAGTCCCCACCTGGTTGCTGGGCACTGAATAGGCTGGGTTGATCTCCACCAGGGAGGCAAATGTTTCTAGGAAGAGGTCACCTAGACTCTGGCGGATAACCACATTGGCTGCACTTCGGATTGGTGCGTGGAGCTTCTCACATAGTTCGCCATATTCTGCTGAGTTCAGCCTGGAAGAGGCATGGCTTGATGAGCTGAGCCAATCTGCCCTTGGATCCACAACCTAAAACCACCCAGAACCAAAAATAGGCAAGGCCAGGGAAAGCAACCACCTCAGTGAAGTAGCCACTAAAGATGGCCCTGGAGGCAGAGTCTCCTCATCCCCAATAGAGGATAGGAAGAACCTGGAGCTGAGGTACCACCAATCTTCATTTCTAGGTGATCTTAAGAAGCTGGAGGGACAGCTCGATGATAGGCAGAAGGAACAGCAAAGAGAACACTGAAGGCAAGAGGGGTCTTGAAGGAAGACGGATCTAAAGGGTTCAACTGACTGAAGTCATACAGACCCTGGAGTATCTCAGTCCTGCCCCACCCTCAGCACCACATAAGAGGTTCATGAATAGCAGACAGTGAAAATCTTGTGCCATCCAGAACCACCACGCACTTACCGAATATCAAAGGGCTGCATAGCAGGGCTGGTGCTGGCCACACGTATGGTAAGAAGCTGCACAGGTAGGTTTGAGTCTGGTGAGAGATCATGCTGCCGAGACTCTGTCACAGTCAAGTGAACATCCTGTTGCTGAGCCACATGCACACGGTATGTTGTCACCTTCATTACCCATGTGTCTGTCACAATCACTCTAGCACCAGGTGCCCCAGTAGCAAACTTGTCAATCCGCCGGAATTCCGTGTTGATGGAAGAGGCAACCGCTTGCCAACCTGACTGTGGAAGGGCATAAAGGGCCAGGGTTTGGGCCAGAGGGTGTCGGGTCCACTTGTCCCAGGACCAGTAGTAGATCAGGGTACAGGAGACAAGGGGAAGGGTCACGGCCAGCAGAAGGAAGAGCTGCCAGGCCTCTGAGGCCTGACCAGGGGAGTAGAGCTGCTTTTCTGAAGCTGCAAAGCACATGCCCATGTAGTAGCCTGCAGAAGAAAAGACATCTCAGGGCAAGCCCAGGCTGTGGGGTGCTACCTTCCTCCCGTGGTGACCCATCTGAAGACCACAGTGTTAGCTCTGTGCTTGGGGGAAGAGAGGGGCTATCTCTTTTTTATCGCCAGCCCTGAGTCTTGCCCTGGAACCTAGAGCTTGGTTAGCTTCCAGAACATATCGCCCTGACTCCTGCACCTCCACAGCTGGCCTGCCTCAGCCTTAGTCACAGCAGTGACACCACATTCTAGAGGAACATGTGTGCAATCTACTACTACGATTTCACAGAAACAGCCAAGTAGGAAGAAAAAAAAATCAAAGTTGCTGGGCAGTAGGGGCACGCGCCTTTAATCCAAATACTTGGGAGGCAGTGGCACGTGGATCTCTGTGAGTTTGAGGCCAGCCTGGTCTAAAGTGCTGGTTCTAGAACAGCCAGAGCTACACAAAGAAACTCTATCTCGAAAAAACAAAAACAAAAGTCCTAGAAAAAAGGACTGTGAGTTCGAGGTTAGTGTGGTCTACAAAGAGAGTTCCAGGACAGCCAGAGTTATTACACAGAGAAACTGAGTCTGCAGAAAACCCCCTCACACACACACACAATAAATAAAAACCAAAGGAAACACATGACTGCGTAGAACTGACTACAGGCCTATCTAAGGCAGTTCTTTGGCCTACATCTTGGTCTCTTAATTTTGCATCCTCTGAGGAGGCAGATCCAACATAGCCCATTTCAGAGCTGGGACAGTGTACAAGAAAGTAAGCAAAAAAAAAAAAAGAAAAAAGAAAGCAAGTACTCAATGATAGGGCATTTGTAAGAACAAAGGAACCAGTTTTAGGGTCCTGTTGGCCCAACAGGGAACAACTCAAACATCGAAAAGAATTATAAAGCAGATGGTAAGGTTCTGTATGGGCAGGCTCCAATCCGCCATAACCAACAGTAAATGTTTACTCTTAGTCACCTCACTACATGTCAAACTAACTTGTTATGGTTATATAGCAACAAAAGCCAGCTTCACTGTCTGCCTGTTCTCAATATAACTACCATGGGTGACTTGTGCTTACCAACATCGGGATCCTTGTTGGGGCATGAGATGAGCATAGCTGGGAGGCGTCCAAAAATCCACGGTACAGTCCTTGGTCAGGGGTCCTGCCTCAGAGCCCCACCTTCTGTATCTGCCTTACAGGGCACTAGGTTCTCAAGCCAAACAACTACCCGGCCATGCCAGCTCCAACTCCAGTTCTCCAATGGGGTAACCTAACGCACCTTCCTCTCAAAACCAGCCTGAGTGCTTCTATTACCACACCTACCTCCACCTCCCTGGAGCCCAGACTGCTGTATCCTCACACCAATCATTCCTGAGCCCAGAGCCACAAATATGTCAGGCCATCAGACATCAGTTCTCCCAGACCTGCCTTTCCGTGTCCCTGTATACTCCAGAGGTTTCCTTCATCTGGTTCCTAGCCTCCAATCCCTGCTCTATCCCAGAAGTTCCCCTAACGCTTCCTCCAAACAGCTGACAGATGGGCCTCTCAGAGGTCCCACTAGACTGGCAAAGATGACTGCAACCAGTGTTCCCAGCCTTGACCGTCTCCACTTCTGCCCGCTCTCGCCACGCCCACCTTCCCCTGGCTGCCCTCCGACTCCAGTTGTAAGGGGTCAACAGGAGCCCTTTCCTAGAAACCGCCCAACATGGCAAACACGCCGAATGATTCTGCACTCCATTCACAGCAACGTAAAAGACGGGGGTCCGGCCCTGCCCGAGCATCACTCGCAGACCAGCGCCTGGGCCGTCGCCTCCCAACAGGGAAGAGCGCTCAGCTTATAGCCTGGGCTGCAGGGACCTAATCGCTTGCACCTCCGTTGACTGGCATCAGTGCCGCTTCCGGCAGGGAACCTCCTCACTCTCGGAGTGCCCGGCTAAGCGCCAACCACTGGCCCGCGCCCAGGAGGCTCACCCAGCGGCAGCAGTGAGTGACACAGTAGCGTGGCGGAAGTGCGACGAAGGTGGTAGGGCACGAAAGCGGCGTCCTCGCTGCCCAGCCAGCCCGACAACAGGTTCTGCACCGTGAGCCCGGCCGAGTAGAACTCGTTGGGCGTGAACACGAAGCACACGGCGAAGACCAGATAGGCCAGAGTGAAGGTCACCTCTGGGCTGTCCATCGCGACGCCGCTCACCGCGCCGGTAAGAGACAGGGGCGTCCAGTTCCGGACAGTTGGTAGGTTGTCGCCGCCACCGCAAAGTCTCCCGCGAGGCACTCTGGGAGACGGAGTTCGAGTCAGGCCGCCCGAGGGGCATTCTGGGAGACTAAGACACGCCTGTCAAGGGGCCCGCAATGCATTCTAGGAGATGGAGTCCCGCCTTAGTCTGCCCGCGGGGTCCTGTAGGGGACAGCGGACAGTCTCCCCATCAGGTGACGCGAAGACCACTCTGGGAGACAGTCTCGTTAGGCCTCCCCGGGCACTCTGGGGAGACCCTCGGAACCCCGTGCCGACCCACAAATCGTGAGCCACCCCGAGGCCCCCCCCCCCCGCAGGGGGGCATCCTCTCCCTTACGAGCAGCTCGGAGAAGACACTGCAGCTGGTTCTATTTAATGGCTGAGAAAAGCCAAGCCAGGGCGAACTGCTGTCTGACCGCGTTCGCGTCCGAGCCTAAGACTGTCGGGGCGATGGTGAACACCACAATGTCCGGCTACCGACTAGCCGACTTGGCCTGCTGTGCTAACCTGTGCTTCCCACGCGCCCCGACACTCCCACTGTGCCCTCAGTCCCGGAAGCGGAACTGCCTGCGCGTGAAGGGCGGGACCAGGAAAGCCTGATATTGGCCGCCCGCGGCTTTGGCGGTCTGGTTCTGCCGCGCGCTGATTGGCCGCGGAACGCCAACTCTCGGTATTTGAATCTGGGGCGGGCTCATTCAGCGGCCGTCGGTCTCGGACTGCGAGAGTAGAGCCGGTTGGAATTCTTTCACCTCGGCTTCTCCAGCTCGGTTTCCTAGCGTGGAGCGGGGACGCCGCTCCTCCCTTGCTGTGGGCGTCGGCGCGGGCCCTCAGCAGTAGGCAGGTAAAGGGCGACTTCCCACGTCCCGCGGGCGAGGGGTGGGGATCAGCCCCGCGGATCGGGATTCCTACTGGCTGGGTTGTGGCTTTCGTCCGCAGCTTCTCTCTCTCTCCTTTTTTCTTTTTCCTCTCTCTCTCTCTCTCTCTCTCTCTCTCTCTCTCTCTCTCTCTCTCAATTTGTTGTTGTTGAGGGCCCACCCCTGGCTCACCCAGCCCTCTTTTCTGGGCTAACGGATTCCTCAAGCTTCCTAGGCGGACTGATGCCTGCGGGCTGCATTCCCGGCTGGACCGTGCTGGCCGGCCTGCCAGTAATTTCGGTCTGACCCAACTGACGTCCTCCAAAGAGGCCCTGCATAATATTTATCTCCTTAGGTTCCTGTTCTTGTCGAGTGTGTCATGTGTGAGACTTGCGTCTCGGAGCCAGGACATCTCCCCAGGTCTCTTTCTTCCACTTGATTTCCGCAAAACCTTCTGTCTATTGTCTGTCGTTCTGAACACCCTGTCCCCGGGACTGTCCTGGGCCAGTGCCTTCGAGTCATATGCTCCCTCTCCCACTCCACAATTACTCCTTCACTAAGAAGACAGCAGAACCCAATCCTGACTTGTCAAGCTTTGTACCAAGAGCTCCCTCCAGGGACTGGGAATATGACTCAGCCAGTAACATGCTTGTCAAACAAGCATGAGGACCTGCGTTCAGGTCCTCAGCACCCACCTAAAAATTGTGTGGCATGGCTGTACTTGCCTGTAATCCTAGCACTGGGCAGGCCGACTGGAAGATCTCTGGAGCTTACTGGCTAGACAGATAATTTTGCTGAATCAGTGAACTCCAGGTTCAGTTAGAGAATCCGGTACGGTAGAGAGCAATTGAAGAAAACACCTCATGTCAACCTTTGGCCTCGTCTTTACACACACACACCCAAAAAAAACAAACCCACAAAAATCCTATCCTAAGCAAAAAACTGTACCGGCAATTCTCCACCTTCTTACCGGAAAGACTTCAGCTAAGGCCATACAGCCCAAAGGCCTATGTTTGAATCCCACAGCCATTCCACTGCCCTTTCCCTATGCTTTTTTTTTTTTTTTTGACCAGGACACAGGACTTAACCTTCCTGTTACTTGATACTGTCAAGCTTTAAAAATATTACTAAATTTGGGTGTGGTAGCACTCAACATTTTTTTTTACATTTTTTATTGATATTTATTGAGCTCTACATTTTTCTCTGCTCCACTCCCTGCCTTTCCCCTCTCCCCTTCAAACCTCCCCCAAGATCCCCATGCTCCCAATTTACTCAGGAGATCTTGTCTTTTTGTATTTTCTCCTTCCCATATACATTATATCTATGTAAGTCTCTCTTAGTGTCTGCATTGTTGTCTAAGTTCTCTGGGATTGTGGTTTGTAGGCTGGCTTTCTTTGCTTTATGTTTAAAAACCACCTATGAGTGAGTCCATGTGATAATTGTCTTTCTGTGTCTGGGTTAACTCACTCAAAATGTTTTCTAGTTCCATCCATTTTCCTGCAAAAGTAAAGCTGTCGTTATTTTCTTTTCTGCTGTGTAGTACTCCATTGTGTAAATGTACCACATTTTCCTTATCCATTCTTCGGTCAAAAGGGGCATTTAGGTTGTTTCCAGGTTCTGCTTATGACAAACAAAGCTGCTATGAACATAGTTGAGCACATGTCCTTGTGGCATGATTGAGCATCCTTTGGATATGTACCCAAAAGTGGTATTACTGGGTCTTGAGGAAGGTTGTTTCCTAATTTTCTGAGAAATTGCCACACTGACATCCAAAGGGGTTGTACCAACTTGCATTCCCACCAGCAATGCAGAAATGATCCCTTTTCCCCACAACCTCTCCAGCATAAGTTGTCATCAGTGTTTTTGATCTTGGCCATTCTTACAGGTGTTAGATGGAATCTCAGAGTTGTTTTGATTTTCATTTCTCTGATTACTAAGGATGTTGAACATTTCCTTAAGTGTCTTTCAGCCATTTTAGATTCCTCTGTTGAGAGTTCTCTGTTTAGGTCGGTACTCCATTTTTTTTTATTGGATTATGTGATCTTTTGGGGTCCAATTTCTTGAGTTCTTTGTATATTTTGGAGATCAGACCTCTGTCTGATGTGGGGTTAGTGAAGATCTTTTCCCATTCTGTAGGCTGTCGTTTTGTCTTGTTTACCATGTCCTTTGCTTTACAGAAGCTTTTCAGCTTCAGGAGGTCCCATTTATTAGTTGTTTCTCTCAGTGTCTGTGCTGCTGGGGTCATATTTAAGAAGTGGTTCCCTGTGCCAATGCGTTCAAGTGTACTTCCAACTTTCTCTTCTATAAGGTTCAGTGTGACTGGCTTTATGTTGACCCATGTTTTCTAATAACCAGTTTTTCAGACCAAAAATCCTAAACATTGCTCTTGATTTCGTTTCTCCTTACCCCATGTCCTGTGCACCTTGCTGAGCAACCTAGACTACCTCTCTTTGGCTCCAGGAACCTCTGGTTCTGTCCTTTCCCCCTCCCATCTTTTCTCATGGGCTCCTAAAGCAGAGTCAGCAGCAACTTATCTTTGTGATGACCTCCCTCCCCAGTATCCCTCCTCACTCTTCAACCAGAGAGCTCCCAGGGTCTCACCCACAAGAACCTATACTCCCCTGCCTCTACCTCCGCTTCCCAAGTATTGGGATTAAACGCGCACACCACTACTGCTTGGCTTCTTTGGTTTTCTTAAAGCCAGGATTACATCCCCTAGCTCTTGCCCTACAGTGTAATACGTTAATGGAAGTCATTCTGAACACCTGGTTCTCTTTCTTTCTCAACCTGAACTCCATTATAGCAATTGACTCAGGAGGTAGCAGTATACCTGATACAATACAAGGGACTCTGAGGCTTTCTCTGGCAGGTGACACCTACTTGAAGTACTAACTGTACCTGTGAAGGGTCTAGCTTTACCTCTTCAGGAAGGGGTACCTCCCTGATGTATTTATGGGGCATTTCTGTACATGTACTGCAGCATCATTGATTTCCTAATGACTAAAATACATTCTGTTTGGCCAGGCCATGGTGGTGCACACCTTTATTCCCAGCACTTGGGGGGCAGAAACAGGCGGATCTCAGTGAGTTTGAGGCCAGTCTGGTCTACAAGGGCTAGTTCCAGAACAGCCAGGATTGTTACACAGAGTAACTCTGCCTCAAAATACCAAAAATAAACAAACTTTTTTTTTTCTTTGTCAGAATGAGTCTGCATATCTTAAATGACGAAAATGTCCCCAGTGAAAAAAGTTCAGAAAGCTGTGACTTCCTCTTTTCACAACCGGAACTTACCGGAAGATCCTCTGTTCTTCGTCTGTCACAGAAAGAAAATGTGCCACCCAAGAACCAGGCTAAAGTTGCCAAGGTAAATGGGGAGTGTAATGTAAGTACTTCAGGTACTTTGGGGTTGGCTTTCTGAGCACTGGAAGCTGGAGCACCTTGGCTTGCATGGGAGGGCTTGTATCATGAAACATGTACACTCTCCTCAACTTTTCACTAGGTGACTTTTCAGACACCTCTTCGGGATCCACAGACGCGCAGGATCTTAAGTCCTAATGTGACCAACAAACTCGAGACTTCTTTTACTCTGGATGGCGCTGTTGAATTAGAAATCAATCAATGTGTCTGCTTACAGGAAGAGAAGTAAGTGTTGATGCCATTGATGTCCTGCGAGTCCATCCTCTCTGGGGTTCTTGCAAAAGCCTTCAATCCTGTCATAGTGGACTTTCTTTTCTCTGATCAGGGCCCTAAGTGCAGAATCTGACATAGTTAGTGGACAGCCAATCATCAGATGGCTGGACTGTTTTCATTCCATGCTGGAATCTCTTTTTCTAAAACTAGATGGACTGACTAAATCTCATTTC